TTGTCTTTTGTTTGGTTTTTTATTTCAAAAAAAAAAGTAAGTGTAAAAAAAAGACTGTTTCCAAAAAGGGAAAGGCTTAGGGGGGGGGGGGGGACACTGTGTTTGATTCAGTACAGGAACAATATCTTAGCAAATATAAAAATAAGACATTATTATTTTATATTCTGGTTTGTCAATATCAATAGTTTGAGTTCCTGATTTGTACAAAACTGTAAATTTTGTAGTTTGACATCACAAACATCTAATTTGAACCAGTGCTGCATTCAACATACCACGTGACACACAAAATTGAGGTTTAGCTGTAGTTTTTAATATTTACTTTTAAATTAAGAAATTAACTAATGTATGATACTAAAATTTGGATTATAATCTACAATTTGATACCAAACTTATTGACATAGATTCATAAAATAGTACTTGAATAAAATTTTGAATCCAAGTCAACTAACGCGATGACATGGCTTTTGGCATGTGACCTGTTGAGATAGGGTTAACAGATTGGCCATAACCATGAATGATAATATTTTTATAATTGCTTTCTATTCAACTTGTTTGAATTGAAAAAAGAACAAAAATGTTTAACTTATACATATTTTAAATACTTCTGTACATTTTTTAATAGACTTGTTTATATTTCTTTTGCTATTTTCACATTTTGTTTTACAGGAATGTGTCATAAGATATGAAATCATAGAGGCCACAATGTGTAGTTTGCCATGTGAAAAAAAAATATATATATATATATCTGTGACTATTATTTTTACTTTCTTTTAGTGAGTGTGCTTTGGGCAAAATGTTTTGAGAAAGAAGAGACTGAATTGCCAGTTTATGAATCCATTGATCTTAAACAATATGTAGATAAAATAATCTCATGAGCATTTTCATACAAAGATTCAATGTATCTATTTGCCTGTTGGGTAGCTGTGTTATCATAGTAACAGCAGATGTAATAACATTGTATGCCACTTAGAAAGATGAATTTTGTGCCTTTGTAGAGAAAGTTTTACATTAATGATCCCTGAGTCATTATATTGTGGCTATTTTCACTCACCTGCCATGAAATAGACCTTTTGCAAAAAAAAAATCATTTTCACTGGCTCAAGAATCCCCAATAATACTGATGCTTCATTTTATGCCTGCTTCAAATTTTTTGTTGTATTCTACATACACAGTAAATGTGATGTCTTATTTTTTATAAAGATATATTTGTAAATATAGCTTGTACTTTATGTTTAAAGGAACAAGATAAAAAAAATTGATGAAGCACTTGTTAAAGGAGCTCTTCAAGTTATTCACCTTCAAAAGAAGCGTTTAAGGCTGCATGTACTGTTTAACAAGGTATGTGTGGACCTTATCATGAAAACATGAGCTTTAAAAAATTTAAGTTACTTAATTTTTATAGTGTGTTTGTATGCTGAATGTATGTATTAGGTCCAGAAGAAATTAATGTCGCATTTTAGAACACCAAACCCTTCATTACCTACCCTCCAAAAAAGGTATATCACGTGTAATAGTTAAACGAACAGCCTATATAATGTGTAAAGTTTTGTATACTCTAATCCCTTATAGTGATGGCACACGTCGAGATACACATTCGGCATGTAATGCTGTTTGAATACAAGAAAAGAAACAACTCTTCTGTAACCACAAAGAATATCAAAGAAGTTTATGGAAATG